GCCGCTTCTGCAGCCATGCACTTCTCCCTCTATGTGCTGCGCAGAGCAGCCGTTAATGTTCGGGCTTGAACATTCAATTTTACAGGCACTTGTGTTGAAGTACCGCCCCCCCTCCAGACTTCTGTCACATACCCCTACGCTACGTCTACACTGGTATGATTTTCTGGAAATGCTTTTAACGGAAAAGTTTTTCCGTTAAAAGCATTTGCAGAAAAGAGCGTCTAGATTGCTATGTGCTGCGCAGAGCAGCCGTTAATGTTCGGGCTTGAACATTCAATTTTACAGGCACTTGTGTTGAAGTACCGCCCCCCCTCCAGACTTCTGTCACATACCCCTACGCTACGTCTACACTGGTATGATTTTCTGGAAATGCTTTTAACGGAAAAGTTTTTCCGTTAAAAGCATTTGCAGAAAAGAGCGTCTAGATTGGCACTTTTTGTGGAAAAGTGTCCGTGTCAATCTAGACGTGCTTTTGCACAAGAAAGCCCCGATCGCCATTTTCACCATCGGGGCTTTTTTGCGGAAAACAATACCGTGTTGTCTAGTGTGGAGGCAGGAAAAGGGAATAAGGCAATTTCTTCCACACTACACTGGCCCTCTTGCGCAAAAGCATTTGCGCAAGAGGGCTTTTGCCCGAATGGGAGCAGCATAGTATTTCCTCAAGAACACTGACAATCTTACATGAGATCGTCAGTGTTCTGGCGGAAATTCAAGCGGCCAGTGTAGACAGCTGGCAAGTGTAGATAGTGTAGACAGCTGGCAAGTGTAGATAGTGTAGACAGCTGGCAAGTTTTTCCGCAAAAGCAGCTGCTTTTGCGGAAAAACTTGCCAGTCTAACTAGTTTGTTATTTTCTGTTTGCTTATTTCGGGTCAGGGAAACAGAGGCAGGAAAATGAGTGAGAGTGAGGTTCAGAAGCAAATGGAGCTGTACAGAATCCAAGCAGCAAACAGTGAGGCAGAACATAAGAGCCAAATGGAGCTAAAGAGGCTTGAGACAGCTGCCCATGAGAAAACCCTAAAACTAATACGACTTGAAATACACAGAGAAGAAAGAGCTTGAAAAGTCGCTCATGAGAGAGCTTTGGAAGTGAGACGGCTAGAACTAGAAGCCCTAAGAACTGCTCTAGAGAAGAGGGAAAAGAGAGGCTGCCGGGACTGCTTGTACTTGACTTTGAGAGTAAACACCCCGATGCTACAGGACCCTACTCTCCAAACATCCAGGAGTGGCATTGACTGTGTCCCGCTTATACATCCGGAATTCTCACCAAGGCTGTGTCTACACTGGTCACTATTCCGGAAAAGAAGCCGCTTTTCCGGAATAACTTGCCAGCTGTCTACACTGGCCCCTTGAATTTCCGGAAAAGCACTGACAATCTACTGTAAGAAATCAGCTGCTTTTCCGGAAATACTATGCTGCTCCCGCTCAGGCAAAAGTCCTTTTTCCGGAAAACTGTTCTGGAAAAGGGCCAGTGTAGACAGCACAGTAGTCTTTTCCGGAAAAAAGCCCCAATCGCGAAAATGATGATCGGGGCTTTTTTCTGGAAAAGCGCGTCTACATTGGCCACGGACGCTTTTCCAGAAAAAGGGCTTTTCCTTCCAATGTAGACGGAAGTACTTATCACGGAAAACTGTTCCGTTTTAAGCATTTCCGGAAAAGGGTGCCAGTGTAGGCGTAGCCCATATTTATTTTTGTATTACATTATTTTAAAATAATCTCATTGTTATATAGCACTGAATCTAATGTGTTATATAGCACTGAATCTAATGTTATGAAATACTCTATACGATCATGCAACTTCTCTTCCCCACCTAAATAATCTCATTGTTATATAGCACTTAATCTAATGTTATAAAATACTCTATACGATCATGCAACTTCTCTTCCCCACCAAAATGATTATTTAATTAAAAAAAAAACCTTTAGGAGGACTGTAGCTATTCTTGTCATACCACTTACCAAATGTGGATTGCTTTGTTCTCCTGGGTTATATGAATTTATACAAAGGACCTTCCTCTCTAAAAGCATTTTAATTTTTGTGACAAAATGAACACTTTTTTTTCTTGGATGTCAGGTTTTATAATTGAGTAGAACATGTGGTTTGCAGTTACGAAATCTGCATATTTTAATTTGCATATTTCAATTTAAAGCAGTTCTCTTGAGGATTGTGCAAAAAAGTTAGAATTGGATTTGCCAAGCATTTCACAGCTGCTAACAAGCTATTGCTATGCTATGAAGAAGGTACGAATACCACTACTTCCTCTAAACAACATGTACACGTTTCTTACATGCACAAGCACTACTTTAACAGGTCCCCCATGCTTCCATCCACAGAAGCCAAGAAGGTAGTAAAATAATACATAGTTGGGCACTCACTGGGCCAAATTCCATGTTGAGGTCTATTCAATACAGTCTGTCTTTACAGGGCAAAACTGAAATCTAGGCACCATGCTTGACTGTATCAGAAGAATTATTAATAAGGTAAATAATAGACTTAATTGTAAATCATTTTCACTCCCAAACTATATACTAACCCTAATTGTAGCCAGGTAAACTTTATTTTCATTTTTTAAAAATTAGGTTTAAGTTTTTATTTCAATGAAAATTCCAGCACAACCTTAACTGAGGAGCTGATAATAGGGTGTGCTCACTACCCTCCCCCATCTCCCCGTGGTTCTGAAGTTTAAATGTATCGGGAGTTGGGCACTGCAGCTCGGCTCCTGCTACATTTAAACTATAGAGTCACAGCAGGGTTAACTTCCCTGGGCCAATGTGAGCCAGGACTAAGCAGTCTGGGCTCACACTGGCCCCAGGAGCTAACCCTGTTGCAGCTCTGCATTTTAAATTTAATAAGCTCACTACCCCTGCTGTAGCTCTTCATTTTAAATATAGTTGACACAGAGGCAGCAAGGGGGGGGGGAGTAAGTAGTCGACTTGACTACCCAATAAGCATATGGCATTGTGGTACAGGTGCTGTATATAAATGCATCTTAGAGGTGCAGATTGGCAGTCAAATGGCTCTGGAGGGAACTCCAGCTATTTATATCATTAT